TTTTTTTTATTTATTTTTTAGAGAGGGAAGGGAGGGAGATAGAGAGAGAGAGAAACATCAATGTGCGGTTGCTGGGGGTTATGGCCTGCAACCCAGGAATGTACCCTGGCTGGGAATCGAACCTGGGACACTTTGGTTCCCAGCCCGCGCTCCATCCACTGAGCTACGCCAGCCAGGGCAATAAATGGTTAAACTTATATACATAGAATCATAAATTTGATCTTAATTCAGTTTCTTCAGATGGTATAGAGTTAGTAGCCAGAGCCCTAGAGCTATTGAAGGAGTTATGGAAGTGTTTGAGGAGGGAAAATTTTAAAATTTAAAAAAACCTTGAATATACACAAAGTATACACATATATACACACACGTGTGTGTTTAGAACTGCCTATAGATTCTTAGGGCATAATCCCAACAGTGGTTTTGCTGGGTCAAAAGGCTGTTTCATTTTTAGTATTTTGAGGAAATTCCATGCTGCTTTCCACAAACAGTCTGCATTCCAACAAAAAGTGCACTAGGGTTCCCTTTTCTCCACAATCTCTCCAATATTTGTTTTTTGATTTGTTTAGGATGGCCATTCTCACTGGTGTGAAGTGGTATCTCATTGTGGTTTTAATTTGCATCTCTCTGATGGCTAATGATGCTGAGCATTTTTTCATATGTCTCCAGGCCTTCTGTATGTCCTCCTTGGCGAAGTATCTATTCAAGTCCTTTGCACATTATTTTTATTTTTATTTTTTATTGTTGCTCAAGTACAATTGTCTCCATTTTCCACCCACCACTCCTCCATTCCCACCCCAGCCATCCCCACCTCCCACCCTTGATCCTACCCACCTTTGTCTTTGTCCATGTGTCCTTTACACGTTTTCCTTGACAACCCTTCCCTCTAATCCCCCAAATATCTCCTCCCACCTCCCCTCTGTTTACTACCAGTTTGTTCTTAGTTTCAATGTCTCTGGTTATATTTTGCTTGCTTGTTTGTTTGACTGATTAGGTTCCACTTATAAGTAAGATCATATGGTATTTGTCTTGCCCATTTTTTAATTGTGTTGTTTGCCTTTTTGGAATGGAGTCATTTGAGTTCCTTATATGTCTTGGAGAACAAACCCTTGTCCAAGGTATCATTTGCAAATATGTTTTCCCATATGGTTGGTTCTTTGCATCTCAATGCTGTTTTCTTTAGGCATGCAGAAGCTTTATATTTTGATGATATCCTATTTGTTTATTCTTTCCTTTACATCCCTTGGTCTAGGGGACATATCAGTGAAATAATTGCTGAGTGGGTTATCTGAGATTTTCATGCCTATGTTCTCCTCTAGGACTTTTATTGTGTCACAACTTATGTCTAACTCAAAGGAACCTATGCACCCCAATATTCATAGCAGCACAATTTACAATAGCCAAGTGTTGGAAGCAACCTAAGTGCCCATCAGTAAACAAGTGGATCAAAAACCTGTGGTACATTTACACAATGGAATACTACATAGCAGAAAAAAAAGAAGGAACTCCTACACTTTGCAACAGCATGTATGGAACTGGAAAGCATTACGGTAAGTGAAATAAGCCAGGTGGTGAAAGAGAAATACCATATGATCTTACCTATAAGTGGAACCTAATCAACAAAGCAAATAAGCAAGCAAAATATAACCAGAGACATTGAAATGGAGAACAGACTGACAGTAACCAGAGAGGAGGGGAGAGAGGGATAACAGAGGATAATAGAGGAAAGGCCATCAAAGAACATGTGTGGAGGACACATGGACAAAGCCAAAGGGGGTTCAAGGCTGGGAGGTGGGGGTGGGTGGGGTGAGGGGGCATGGTGTGGTGGTGAAAATGGAGACATCTCTACTTGAACAATAAAAAAAATAAAACAATAAAATACATCATACCAAAAAAAGAACTGTCTATAAATCAAGACATATATTAGCAGCTAGTTATTAGTCATGTCTGAATGATTATTAGTGTGGGTGTAGGTGTATACTCATTGACTTGGTAAGATATAGACATGTCCTCTAAAGGTACCCAGAGACCATGAGGGATGTATCCTTGATGCCATCTCTGCTTATTGTAGGTGTCACTCTGCTCCTCCTGATGTTGCCACTGAAGAGGGGGTTATGGGGGGACACCAGGAAGAGAAAGCTACTACTGGGTCTTATGAGGAACTACTGGGGCTAAGCTCTGCTGGAGAGCTTAGGGACAGCCTGAACCAAATTTCATAGTCTTCCAACCAACTCCCAGTTGAAATGGTAGAGGTGTCATTGGAGAGGTCAGTTCCTCAGGACTCCTATCAGGAAGAGTCTCCAGGAAATTTGAGAAAAGTAAGTGCTGAAGGACATGAACTTGTCCTGGTGCCAGGGGAGGCATCAGCTGATGTGTGCCATCCTCATAAACCTTACTTTATATACTTCTTTTTTTTTCTTTCTCCAGCTTCATTGAGACATTATCAACATACATGCACATATGTTGACTTCCATGTAAGTTTAAGGTATACAATGTGATGATTTCATGTTTGTATATAATTTTGTATAAAATTATTAATTATTTTTTAAAACACTTTATTGATTATACTATTATAGTTGTTGCATTTTTTTCTCCCTTTATTCCCTTCTGCCCAGTACCCTTCCTCCCACCAGCATTTCCCCACCTTAGTTCATGTTCATGGGTCATACATATAAGTTCTTTGGCTTCTCCATTTCCCATACTATTCTTAACCTCCCCTGTCTATTTTGTACCTACCACTTATGCTTCTTTTTCCCTATACATTTTCCTCCAACTCCCCCCACTGATAACCTCCATGTAATCTCTATTTCTGTGAATATGTTCCTGTTCTAGTTGTTTTCTTAGTTCACTTTTGGTTTTGTATTTTTTTAGGTTCAGTTGTTGATAGTTGTGAGTTTGTTGTCATTTTACTGTTCATAGTTTTGATCTTCTTCTTTTTCTTAGATAAGTTCCTTTAACATTTCATAGAATAAGGGCTTGGTGGTGCTGAACTCCTTTAACTTGACCTTATCTGGGAATCACTTTATCTGCCCTTCCATTCTAAATGAGAGCTTTGCTGGATAGAGTCATATTGGATGTAGGTCCTTGCCTTTCATGACTTGGAATACTTCTTTCCAGCCCTTCTCGCCTGCAAGATTTCTTTGGAGAAAATCACTAGAGACTCTAATGGGAACTCCATTGTAGATAACTGTCTCCTTTTCTCTTGCTGCTTTGAAGATTCTCTCCTATCTTTGATCTTGGGTAATGTAATTATGATGTGCCTCGGTGTGTTCCTCCTTGGGTGCAACTTCTCTGGGATTCTCTGAGCTTCCGGGACTTCCTGAAATTCTATTTCCCTTACCAGACTGGGGAATTTTTCCTTCATTATTTGTTCAAATAAGTCTTCCATTTCTTACTGTTCCTCTTCTCCTTCTGGAACCCTTAAGATTCATATGTTAGAATGTTTCAAGTTGTCCTGGAGGTTCCTAGGCCTCTTCTCATTTTTTTTTTTTGTATTCTTTTTCTTCATTCTGTTCTGGTTGAATGTTTATTACTTCTTTCTGCTCCAAATCAGTGATTTTAGGCCCAATTTCCTTTCCTTCACTGTTGGTTCCCTGTGCATTTTTTTATTGCACTTTGCATAGCCTTCACTTTTTGCTCTATTTTGTGGCTGTACTCAAGGATTTCTGTGTGCATCCTGATTACCAGTGTTTTCAACTCTGCATCTGACAGGTTGGCTATTTCTTAATCACTTAGTTGTATTTTTTTCTGGAGTTTTGATCTGTTGTTTCATTTGGTCCATATTTCTTTTTATCTTGGCACACCTGTTACTTAGTAAGGGGCAGAGCCTTAAGTATTCACCAAGGTGGGCAATGCACTTTGCTGCATTGTGGCACTGTATGTAAGAAAGGGATTTGAGAGAGGACAATGCCACTTGCTCAGTTCTTGGCCATCTTCCAGTCACTACCTCTACTACCCACAAGCAAATTGGACCCTTTTGGTACTGATTCCTGGGTGGGTGATTTGTGTATATTCTAGGACCCTGTGGGTCTGTCCAATGAACTCTCCTGTGAGGCAAGGAGTTTCTCCTGCTACCCCAATGCCCATTGCTGTTTTCAGTCAGAAGATTTGAGGCTTTATTTCCTCAGGCTGTAACCCTGGGTTGCACGATCTGTCTCGCTCCCAAGTTGTTCCTCCTGGTTTATGCGCACATAAATGTGGGACTGCCCATTCTGCCAGCCACCTTCTTGCCCAGTCCTCCAGCTACCATCTTGCCTCAAGTCTTCTCCACCCTGACTGCCCACGTCCACCCCTCCTACTGGTATGGAGAAGTGTTTCTTCTTTAACTCCTTGATTGTCAGACTTCCACACAATTCAATTTTCTGGCAGTTCTGGTTGGGTTTTTTTTTTTTTTTAATTTGCTGTCGTCCTTTTGCATGTGCAAGGAGGCAAAGTGTATCTATCTATACCTCCATCTTGGCCAGAAGTCTCCCTTACTTTATATATTTCTATGAGCTGGTTGAGAATCTGTAATCCCATCCTCACTAGATTTTTCCAATGGGTTTTTCTGCCAATTTCTCAGTAGGTAAACTACACTGGGGAGACCTTACTTTTGTTTGGGTATTTTTTTAACATGAATGTTCAAACCAACTTATCTGTACATTGGAAATAAATTTTCCCTTTGCCCACAAATTGGAAATAAATATCAATCAACATGTAAACATGGTGCAGGATGCTCATACAATAAAATACTAGTCATCAATAAAAAGAAAAAATCTATTGATACATAGAGCAATAGAGTAAATCTAAAAATAATTTTGCTAAGTGAAAAGAAGTCAAATAAAAAAGAATGTATCATGTATAATTATATGCATATAAAATTCTAGAAAATGCAAATTAATCTATATAAGGATATAAAGCAAATCAGTGATCTCTAAAGAAAGGAGGAGGGGCAAGGAGGACTGGAAAACAACACATGACGTGTGTATTTTTTTCCTTCTTGCCCTTGTTACCTTGCCTCTCACCTTGCCTGATAGGTGTTTGCTGCCAATCTTCACCAAATGAGTCTCCTAAGTGTCTTCCCTGGTAATAAGTTTGCTCTTTTCCTGAAAACTATGGATACAAAGAGAAAAAATTATGCTCATCTTGTTTCCCCATTTCCAAAAGCTATAATATAGTAGAAGGGACATAAGTCAGTAGCTAAGTGATTGCATCCCTGATTACATGCAGTTTTCCCTCCATGCCTCACAGTTGGCATTGAGATTTAAGAAATAAGTTTGTATGGGCATAAGGAAGAGACTACATCTCAACAAAACTGTTCATCCCCACTCTTATTTTCATGCTTCCAACAACTCCCCCAAGTGTGAGCATGAATTAAGCTCTTCTGTCCACAGCTGCATCACTCAAATTGCCCTAAAATAAATTTCAGTTAGAGTGTCTATGTGTTAGAACACACTGCCAATCCAACACACCTGGGCAAGTCCATCCAGTCTATTCCCTCTCAGTGTCAGAGCTATTGACACTTCATTTCAATGTTATTTTGACACTATTATTAGTTTCATTATTCACATAAGGTAAGTGACATTAAACTCTCTATTACAAAGTAGAGATGACATAACTCTAGAAAACAATTGCCTTACTAGAATTGCCTTACTAGAATTTTGAGTTAGAGGGAAAATGGCTAACATAAAAAAAAAACCTCATAAAATTCTGACCACTTTAAAGGTCTGTGTCCACTATCTGTTCAGACAAACCAAAGTACTTAGACTTTTTAAAAGGATTTGAACTCTACCTTCTTCTCATTATGATTGCATTATAGTGCAATTTGTCCCAGGATGGAGAACTAACATTTAGACTACTCTCTCAAGAATCACAATATACTTTTAAGGTATTTGACTAACACTTTGTGATGTTAAAACAAAAGCCTCCTTCATTTGTCTGCTTTGTGAAATCCATGGGGAAAACTTTTATGAGTTATTCTGTCAAGTGGACAGAACACCAGCCTGAAAATAAAGTTGAGAAAAATGAACAGAATAAAGTTCAGTTATCAAGCTTCCAAAGGAAAAGGTACAACAATTACCTGGGCTGTGTCAGGGGCATGAGGTCTGGCTTTCAGTCGAGAATCAACAAACCCCCCTGGAGGAGGAGTCTTGTTTGGAATACTGTTGTAGTATGGGTGATCTGAGCCATCACCCTCCTCCTCAGTCCATGGCTCATCTAGACTCTGCATTCTGTTAAAAGAGAATTTTCAAAAGCTTTAGCCAAACACTGAGCTTATGGTCAAAACCAATTAATCTAATGTTAATATCTTGTCACCCCAGAAAAGTAAGTTTACCCATTGCCCCCTCAATCATGTAAGCCTCAGTCATACATGAAAAGCACATGAGTGGTTTAGACAAATATCTCTGCCTTATTTACAGTTCTACCCTTTGGAAAATACCAGTCATATTTGAAATAGAAAAAAATCCTTTTTAAAAGCATATTTTGTTTAAGAAAGAAAATTTTAAGTACAAAGATAACCAGATACTGAAGGCACAGACACACATTTTAGTAAATTATGAAATTTACCCCAAAACCAACTAAAATATGAAGATTTCATGACATCAGGGAAAATGGCAGAGTAAGGACCTCTGAAATTTTTATCTTTTATGAAAGAACAATAAAAGTGGTAAAAAAAATCAGAATCAACTACTTAAAACCCTGGAAAATAACCAGAGGCTTTCAACAACCTAGGGAGTGTATTTTTTTAAGCAAACAAAAGACAGCTTTATGAAGAGTGGCTTTGTGGCATTTTAACTTGCCCTATTCCTATCTCCATGGTAGTTTTTAAAACAAAGAGCCCACAATCACAGTAAAAACCAGTAGCCTGATAGCCATGAAAGAAGGCAAAACAGCTCTGAGTCTCCTTTACAGTCTCATTCCCAGAGAACAGTCATTATACTAACTGTCTTGTCATTTCCTAGAAGTGGTAACTCATATGACTGTCTTTATTTGACCTGATTTGGGGGAAAATGCCTCCTCTGCTGGGTCGTTTGTCAAGAGCAATTAGAGGAAATTGTTTAACAACATGGTTTCCTGGGGCAGTAAATAACACTGGGGGCAAAGAGTAGGCTAATCAAAAGCTTAAAAGGAAAAGTTAGAAAATGAGATGTTCATAGGGATTTTGATAAACCTCAACATATTTCCAAGAATCTAGAAGGCTACTAGAATCTAGAATTCATAGGGCTCTGTTCATGGTCAAGGATGAATCCCTGCTTAGAAAAGATGTAAAAAGGCCCTAGTTTCAAACACTGGCTTAGCCTGAAGCTATGCACAAGTAGGAAGTGAAAGCTAAAGAATTGCCAAGTGCCTGGCTGAGTGTTAAAGGGATTCCCCACACAAAAACAGAGCCCCTCAGCAAAGACCAGTTCCTGGAATTTAGGAAACCTCTTTCTAGTAATTAGCTTTCTAATAATTAAAGTGAGCAGAGTTAGTGGCCATTGTTAGTGGTCAAGGAATACAGACTTTATGAATTTAGTTTATAAAAGTCATTAAAACAAACAACCACAAAAACCAGCAACAACAACAAATCCTGAAGAAGGGAGAAATCTGATTTCCAGAGTTGCCACATATATTATTTCAAATCCCTACTTTCTACAAAAAAAAAATAAAATTATGAGACATGCAAAAAAAAAACACAAGAAAAATAAGCAATCAATAGAAACTGTCCCTGAGGAAACTCAGATTTTAAACAAAGGATCCTCAATAATATTAACAGCTGACTTCTTATCACAAACAATGAAGGTCAGAAAGTAGTGGTATGGCATATTCAAGTACTGAAAGAAGAAGACAATATACCTAACACTCTCTATACAGTAAAACTATCCTTTCAAAATGAAACAGAAATAGGACATTTCCAGATATATAAAAACTAAAATAAATCATCACTAGCAAATCTTTCCTTCCATTAGTATTAAAGAAAGTACTTTACACTAAAATGAAAGAACACTAGATGGTACTATACATCAACATGAAGAAATAGAGAACAATGGTGCAAAATTAAATTTATACAAATGTCTTCAATCTTTATTATATAGAAACACATACAGGACTTCATGCCTTAAGTATATTCCCAAAGAAGCTTGGTGATTCAGTTAACTCCAGCCACCCACTTTTGTACATATTATTTTAATATCATTTATTTGACTTTAAATAATATTTCAAAAGTATAGAAAATCATAATAATTAATATAAAAGATATCTGTGTACCTACCACTGATATTAAATGGTGTGAACATTTTCTATATTTGCTTCCTTTCATAAAAAGAAGTAAAATGTGTCAAACTTCAGATGGATAGATAAGTGAAATTAACAGAAAAATATTAATGGTAGAATCTAGATGATGGGTATAAAGGTGTTTACTATTAAAATACTTTTGTATATTTGTACCTTTTCATTATGAAATATTAGGGAGGAAATAATACTTGACAAATAAAGTTAAAGCTCACTCTGCCCCCAATTCAACCTTTGGTATCTTAGAGTTGTTATTTAATATTCCTGCATGTTTTTATATCCATCCATATATTTATCTATAAATTGTATATATAATTGTTTGTGTGTTTTAAAATTCATATAAATAGTTCATATTCTTTCTCACTCCATTTAAAAATTTTGAGATTTTTTTCCTAGTAATACACATCTACTGATATATTCTTTGTAATGACTATATCTCATTTTATATACAATTTAAAAATTTATTCACTCATTTTCCTGCAAGGGCCATCTGGGTATCTGTCACTTTCTAACTAACTCTTCTTGCACACAGCTCACTGAGCTTGTGGTAGCTTCTGTCAATAAGGAAAAAGTGGGGCCTTCAAAGGAAACAACAAAATGAAAGCCTTAAAAGAACTTAACCAGTGGAAGAGGGAAAGAATTTTAAAGTATCTTTCAAGAATGGTGAAGACTTCAGAGAGGTGACAAAAATCTTCATAATAATGAAGACAAAGGCAGAACTAACTTTATGACTAAGACACAAAATGTAGCTGTAGAAATTGGAATACAAACATGCAAAGTAAATTTACAAGAAATATAATAAAGCTTTATTAACAGTGAACATATCAGGGTAGTAGGCTTCTATTATGAAAATTCAGTAAAGGACAGAGTATTGAATGATCACTATGCCCCATGTTACTTTTAAAAATATGTTTTGCAATACAAGAAATGGTGGTCAGAGTGACCCTCAGTCACCCAGCTGGAGGGAAGGACCCACCAAATAACAACCCAACAGCAATGAAAACTCAATTACACCCACAAAGCCAACATAAACTGCATAAAGGGCATCCCAAGAACGTCAAGATCAGGAGATCAAGGTGTCTGCACCACTGAATCTCACAAGTCTCCTATCATAGAAGTTCATACCACAAACTCAGGGAGTCAAAACAGATCAATTTAAGAAGCAGAGGCAAATAAAAAGAGTCTCACAAATAATGTGAAGACAAAGAACCAAGGCCTTAACAAAAAGGAAAGAGGAATCCTCAGAAAGAATGTTAACTGAAATAGAGGCAAGTCAATGATCAGATATTGAGTTCAAAACAATGCTTATAAGGAAGCACAATGAGCTCAGTGAGAATTACCAAAAACTACAAGGAAGCAATAGGGAATTAAATGTGAATTAACCAGCATGAAAAAAGGATGTAGAAACAACCAACAACAGCCAAGAGTAGGGTTCCAGCCAAGATGCAAGTATAGGAGGATACCCTTCGCTTCCTTGCACAACCAAAAGGAGGATAACAACCAATCTAAAATCAATAAACAACAAGAAAAAAAAGGAAAAAGCCAGAAAATCAAACTGCATGGAACTCTGACAACCAAGAAACAGTCAACCAGACCAACTAGACCAGTAAGGCAGGAGGATGGAGAGAACCCATGGCAAAGGACCTGACCATGTGAACATGACTGTCTGAGTGGGAAACTGAGACTCAGAGCTATGGTAAGGGTTGTCTCAGTGGGAGGAACTCCCAACCTCACAGGAGGGCTCATTGGAAAGTGGGCTAGAGTGAAGCAGGCAAGCTGCACTGTTTCCTTTCTGGCCTCTCCACCACAGACAGTGCCACAGCACAGCAAGCAGGGTTACCCTGACCTAGTGAATACCTAAGGCCCCACCCCCTTATAACTTAGCAGGTGCACTGAGACAAAGATATATGGCTCAAAGGAAAGAACAGAGCAAAACTCCAGGAACAGAGCTAAGTGATGAGGAGATAACCAGCCCATCTGATAGAGAGTTCAAAGCCCTGGTAATCAAAATGCTCACAGAACTGAGATTGGTCGCAAAATGAAAGAGCAAATGAAAGATACTCAAGTGAAATAAAGCAAAATATTTAGGGAACCAACAGTGACAGGAAAGAAACTAGGACTCAAATCAATGGTTTGGAGCAAAAGGAAGAAATAGTCATCCAACCAGAACAGAATGAAGAAACAAGAATTCAAAAAAGTGAAGAGAAGCTTAGGAACATCTGGGACAACTTAAATGTTCCAATATCCAAATTATACAAGTGCCAGAAGGAGAAAAACAAGAGTAAGAAATGGAAAAGATATTTGAACAAATAATGAAGGAAAATTTCCCCAATCTGGAAAAGGAAATATACTTCCAGGAAGTCCAAGGAGCTCAGAGAGTCCCAAAGAAGTTGGACCCAAAGAAGAACACACCAAGCCACATTATCATTAATTTGCCCAAGATTAAAGATAAAGAGAGAATCTTAAAAGCAGCAAAGGAAAGGAGAGAGTTACCTACAAAGGAATGCCCAAAAGACCGTCAGCTGATTTCTCAAAAGAAATCTTATAGGTAAGAAGGGGCTGGAAAAGAAGTATTTGAAGTCATGAAATGCAAGGAACTACATCCAATATTACTCTAGCCAGCAAAGCTATCATTTAGAATGGAAGGGCAGATAAAGTGCTTCCCAGATAAGTTCAACTTAAAGGAGTTCATCATCACCAAGCCCTTATTACATAAAATGTTAAAACGACTTATCTAAGGAAGATGGTGTCAGGGTAGAAGGGAGCAGATTTCATTCCCTCTACACACAGGAGAAAATCCTGGCTGATCCATGGAGTAAAAGAGAAAGCAACCAAGATACCTAAACATATATGAAAATAAGGGACCAAGAACTGTGGCAGAACCAAAACACCAGGCGGTGAGAGGAGTGCTGCAAGACAGTAGGGTCCCAGGGACCAGTGCGGGGTCCGGGCGGGACTG